TAACTCGATTTCACAAAACAGTCAAGAGTATTCAAACCCACTTCATTTAAAAATCCTGATTCACCATTACAACACTGACTTCAGCAGCGATTGCCTCAGTCTTCCCCAAAACTCTACGAAGAAGAAAAATCCAAATCCTATGTCTTTCCTTCCCCGACCTGAAGCATGAAGCTCCTCTCTCTAATTCCCTTGATCTTCAAAAACCTCCCATCCCCCCAAAATAAAAATCCACACCACTCCAAAACTATATCCCCCCTAACCTTATCCTCTGAATTTCTTCAATCTTCCGTCTTAGATCCGGAATTGGCTCCCACCTCAAGCTTGGATCCGAAATTACCTTTAAGAAATCCATTTACCGAAAACAACGTTCCCTGAGACGGCATAGAGAACAGGACAGCCTGAAACAGAATCGAACCCCGTAATCGGGACCACATTGAGTCGCCCGACCAATTCAGGTCCTATATTGGGAAAGATGCCCGTAGTAACCTGGATGTTCCCATAATTGGGTCAAATTGGTCCTCGCGTCAGATTGGCTAAGACCCGTAGTAAGACCTGGATTTCTCGTAACTAGACTGCATTGGGTTGCCCCACCAATACAGGTCTCATATTGGGTAAGAGGATCCGGATTGGATTCTCCAAATTGGATCCAATTGGCTCCTCAAACCCGTCGTGTGAATTGGTCCTTCTCTTCCTGCTGACTCCCGTTATTGGAATCGAACGGGGCATTCCAGTATGCCCCGGCTGACTGTAACGGAGTCACTGAACCTGACCACTCAGTATTTGTACTGGAGTTGGTCGATGCTCCCAATATTCGAGATAACTGAATATTAATAAAATTCCCCTTTCTTTTTATTTTCATTGTATACTCGTGTTACAACACGACATCGGATGGTTAACTTAGTTATTAAAAGTAGTTAATTATAGGATTAAAATTAGAATCTGAGAATAAGGAGTAAGTATATAGGAGTTATAGAAGTTAGTCCGAGGACCAGATTGTGATAGTTATGAGCCGGTGTTGGGATAGAGAGAATTTGCTTCAAGAAAGCACTGGGCTTCTGGATACCACTAAATACTCAATCAAGTCTAAGATATAAAAAACTAAGTTTATATATATAATATTTTCTCTTTTTGGGCAATTACATCAAAATACAAGCCCAAATACCAAGAAAACACCCAAATGTATGATAAAGATCTTAAAACCTTAAATATCCTTATGAGAGATGTTTCCCGAACTTCAACATCTCATATCTCATGATTGGATTGTCCAAACAATCCTAAATTTTACATAAAGTATTGATATACTTTCAAAAACTTCCTTAAAAAAATTCAACTACAAATTCATTATGGATCTTGAGATATCACCAAAACCCTAGTAATAGCTTTAAATCCTAGCTTACATACACACATGTGCTAATTTCTTCAAATCTCACAAAATAAGTACTCAAATACCATGAAACTTTGATCTATAGCTTTTTTAACTTAATAACGCACATTTATAGAAATTCTAAGCCAAAAATTCGCCCAAGAATTCAAGATATGGCTCCAATCATTACTATCAACAAAATGACTCACTTACTGCCTTTGAATTACATTTATTGTCTTTAACGCCCTATAACTCCTTCATCTAGACTTGGAATTCATTAAACAGTATATGTAAAGTATAGCTAAGAAAGTGTCCTCTCCAATTCTAATCGCCTATCTTTCATTGCTCTCTGTACGCATATGTTATGCTTCAATGAGTGACAATAGATACAAATTTGATACCTTAACTTTGAACACTTATATCTCTACACAAAAACTCGAAATCACACAAACTCTTCACCCAAATTATATCCAAAACCTTGAACTTGCTGACCCTAGCCTCCTAAGCTCAAATGACTTCGAAAGAGAAACCCTAATCCCTAATAAGGCATCGGGCAACCTCCTTGAAGTCCATTGGGCATGGTCTTCGACCAATAGGAATGAAGTTTCTCATTCTTTGCCTTCATCCAACCATGCCTTGCTTCCATCCCTCCCAATGAACCTCCTATTAGTTAAGAATTTCTTCTTAAGGCTCTAATCTCCTATCAAGGCTCCATACTAAACATTTAGGTTCTATAATATTTTTTTTTTTGAAATACTATAAGTAAAAAGTTAAACTCAAAATAAAGTTTCTTAAATCCACTCTTTTTAAATTAATCTATTTAACTATTCTAACATACACCAAGTCTTATGAATATATTATATGTTATAATTAATTTTTACATATTATAAACTTTTACAGTACGACACCGGGATAAACTTGGTCTTATCTCTTTGTTTCTTTGTTGTTGAAGAGTAATGGATAGTTTTTGAATACTGAGAAGTGAGTCTGTGGAATAAATCAAAGATTAATTTATGGGTTATTGATTATGTAATTGGAGTACTAAGTGATTGAATTATATGAAAAGTTATTGGAAGATTGATTATGGATAGAAGATTATGATTATTGTTTATTGAGAGGTATGTGTGTGTTTCAACAAAGGAAGTTTGTGATTATAGAAATTGTGTGAATCTAGATTGGTTGGAATGAAGTCTGTTATTTTTGGTGTTGGATGGAATTTATGTCCTTTGAGCGGTCTTTTAAGAGTGCAGGGTTGTACATTGTGGTTATCAGTTGATGAAGGAGTATTGTTACTGGGAGAAAGCATTGTAGTGTTTCTTGGTGTTTTAGCGGTTCGGATTACGGTTAATTGAGTGATCTTAACTTGTAAGCTCATGCGCTTAGTCTTTCCCTGAGTTCGAATCTCCGTCTACATGTTTATTCTGAAAGGAATTCATAGAATAAGTAAAACGATAATTACATTTTGGCGCCACTACTAGGGATTGACAATAGCATTGAGTGTTAAGAATTAACTGCCAGATGAGTAGATGGGAAATAGGAAGCAAATTTAGCATTATATAATGAAAGATTATGGTTATTAAGAATGAGAACATTGCAGTAAAGAAAACACGCGAGTCGAATGAAAGACAAGAGAAAGTACAAGCAAGAAAATCATTGCGAGACAAGCAAGAACGCAAGTTAAAAAGGAAGCATTGCCAAAGTTGGATTAAGCCATGGTTGCATGCTTATCGGCATATCCAAGCATATCTAGAAGCTGACCGATCTCTAATATGTCAGACATATATATTGTTAAAAAAATTGCCAAGAGCACTCACAGGAAATTTTGTCAACAACCCAATGTATCTCTTGAACTTGTTAATTATAAGTGGAGGAAACACAGAAGAATTGGATACTCCGTTGGGTACCTTTCCAATAGCAAAAACTGCCAATTTTATAAAAACTGGTCCCATAGAATGGCATAAATTGCTTGCCAATAAAGGCCAATTTAGTGTTTTTTAAAATTCATCGTTTTCACCTCCAATTCAATCAATGAACTTATTCAGGGATAATAATAGTAAATTGAGGAGATTGAAAAGTCCGAAAAAGATAATTGGGAAAGGTAGTGGTAATTTTAATAAGAGATTAAGCGGCACATTGTCCTCTTCAATGACGACAAGTGGTCCAACAGTTCCAATAGCAGTCCAAATGGGTGACGTGGGTGATTACACAACCAGCGTGGCTCCATTACCTACTTTTAGGAGCTTTCCGGATGCGGATCTCGGTCAATATTTGTCTTAGTTTCTGACAGCATGTGTAGTAAATAATGGAAGAACCAAAGATATTTGGTTACGATGGTTGCCAACAATCTTAAAAGACACGGCGTTTGAATGGTACAACTGCCAACCAGTGGGTCAATTTCCGAATTGAGAAGCATTGAAGAATGCATTTTTAACCCATTTTTGGCCAATAGGTTTTGAGGATCGTCTTTGAGAGAGGTTAATCAATAGCAAAATGATCCTAGGAGAAGCAATGGAATCGTATTATGGCCAGGTGACTGATATATTCAATAAGTGGCGGAATCACCAAATGCCGGAGGCATTTATCTTATCCATATTAATCAATGGTTTGCACCCACTAGAGTTAAAAATGTTTGTGAAGGAAGCTCAACCCGTTACGATGTCTGCATCCCTAAACCCTAAACCCTAAACCTGGCTCGAGATACAAGAAGAAGCTTTAATGAGAAAATGATATTCGTCCTACTCTTCGAGGCAGCTTGAGGACATGCAGGTGACTCTGGCATGAATTGGTAAGACTTTGCTAAGAGCATCTCCACCAGACACTGCAATAGCTTTACCGGCAGCACCTCTGGCAGCCTGCAGGCAGAGGGATACAGATCAAAACCTCCCACCGGTGCTTCTATTCTTCCTGTACCTCTAAATGTTTTGCAGAAATAGAGAGAAGCGATAGCGGCATCTTAATATGCCTGTATCGAGACGGCTCTGTAGCGGCAGGGAAGCGGTTCCTGCAAAAAGTCAAGCTTGGTCAATTTGGGAACGTCAATTTTTAGAAACAGGTTTTGCTATACAAGAAGCCCTGGTGGAGATGCTCTAAGCAGATCGAGTTTACCTTATTTTTTGTTAGAAACAAAAGGAGCAGATGATCATGTCTATTGGTTTAAGTAACCAGTAATATGGCCGTAATTGTTACAATGGCCGATTTCATTGTGCCAAAATTAAGATGCTCGGTTATCAATTTCCAAAAGATTTGAAATCTAGGACAACTTTACAGAGAGACCTAGTTCGACAGTTCTGAAGATGGCCGTGAGCCATGAGTTGAAACTTTGATTTCCGAGCTTCATGGTTGCAACACTGCTAGAGAAGCAGCTCCTACAGAAAAGTCTTTCCACTTGAGCGGGACGGTTCCCCGAATCCCCAAGCTACTCTACCGAAGACATGCAAGAGCGTGTATGACAATCTGTGCACGCAATAATAATAGACTCCATTCAGATTAGCTTTCTCGTTCCCGAGTGCCGAATAGTGTCTTTGCAGATCAGTGTCTGTACAGGGCCCACGCGGTCCAGGCTTGTAAGTTGTTCAGGTTCCAAAAATTTGGATATGTATATATTGCAGTTCCCGAGTCGACGAAGGTCAGGTATTATAATAATATTTGTAATTTATGTCTTAATTAACTAAGCCTGTTACTTTTGTTGTCATTTAATTGTTTATATGTGGAATATCAGTTGGCGGCAAGATGTTGCCTTCAATGTCTTGTACTTCTCTAATTCGGCCGCATAGTTGTGTGTGGAGTATGTGCTGTGTTGAAGTTCTTTCTCCAATTTCATAGCTTGGTGATGTTTTCCTGGACATTTTTCTGCTTTTCGAGAAGGGTGGATAGTTCAATTTTGAATTTCTCCGAGGCATAATTTGGCCGTGAATAAGGTTTGGGAATTCAAGCTAATGGATGCAAGTTAACGTTGCAGGACCGAGAGGCGAGGGTTTCTGTAGTATTGTTTTTCAGTTAGAGATGCCGGGAATTGGAGAGGATGTGCTGGCTCTAACCGTGGTGTTCGTCGCCTGAGGTTAAGACTAGCTTAGCCCTTTATAGTCTAGGCAGCTCGATTGGGGGCTGAACGTACACAGACCCTGTGTGTGTGCCTGTGTGTATCACAAGTCTGTACTATCTTTCTGGCAGTCGAGTGGGTTCCTGAGATAACTATCCAAATCAACGCACCCACAATTGACGAGCTCACAGTAAAACATTAGCTGTCAGAAGAGAAAAATTGAAGAGTACTAGATTTGTGAGGAGTGGGCTAGAGGTTTGTTGGATGTGGCTGCCTTGTGAACTTAGCCATATACTTCAGCTCTGGTGTTGAAGAAGAGAAGGATAGAAGATATTAGATTTGAGTGGAGGTTCGTTGGTGGTGGCTGCGATGGCCACACATCGGCTAATTGAAGTCTCTTTTTTTGAAGCAAAAGGCCTAAAGAACGTAAGGACGTTTGGCGGAGATATGAATCTCAGCGTGCGGGCTTTTATTAAGAAGCCTGGCCTAACTGACTCTGGTTTGCAAACCGTAGAGTATACAAAGTATACCGGTAGCTCACGCTGCAACTGGGCGGGAGTGAAGATGCCATTTTATTGTCCTATCAATAACTTTGCCGAGGATTACAAGTTGGCCGTGTATATTTGCCACCACAGTTGCTTAAGGGATACTGCGACCTTGGTCGGAAGTTTCCAGATTGTGGTCCCTGCCGTCACACTCGCTCGTGAGCCTTACCCGGTACTGTTCATTTCTACAAATTAAAGCTTTATGATTTTCTTGCTACACATATCCAAGTAATGGTGAAACGTTTAAGTTGAGGCTGGAATCTATGTTATGCAGGAGCATGGTTGTTGATAGGCTTGTAACGTAATGATGCAGGTGTTTACGGACTCGGGAGAACGTCATGGAACGCTGGAGATGTCCGTGACTGTTGGGCCGCCGGTGGTGCTTGTCCAACCGACAGTATCTGCGCAGAATATCCAGAGGTCGTCATCAGGAATTGGCGCTGCAATAATCGCTGGAGTCGCCAGCGACTTGATAGTTGGGTTAGTTAAAAGTTTGTTCAATCACTGATTGGAGCACTGTTTGCAGACAAATCATCTTTGGTAGTATGTCCGGAGTATAGTAATCATGACACTGTAGAAGGGTGTGTGTAGAGTATCAATTCTGATGACGATCTATCGACCGAGTCCCTTCTGTGGTTCCACAGGAAAAACCATTCAGAAGACAAAATCTCCAATGTAAAGCTTGCTGTTTAGTAATGCTTGGTGCCCGATCTCCAGTACGGGTAATAACAGGGTTGGTGGGACTAGGAGCGTGATTGCACAAATTGCTCAATCACATCGTTCCACAATTCATAACCTTGACCCTGAGTGGGGTTACGCATGTGGGATAAGCTTCACGCTTGCCACAGACACCCCATGGCTATATTCGTCATTGGCGGTTTTCACATTGCCAATTGCGCTATCTCTCTTTCACCAATTTGTAGTTTTTTTCCTACTCGTGTGACAAATCTAACATGCACTATTGCATCTATCAATAAAGCATGTTTAGGATACAGAAATGATATCAAAAAGCTGAAAATGCTTGATTTGCATCTAGAAAGCTTTCCACAAAACGGCCAACGGTACTGAAAACCGCCAATATAACTAATATAACCATCCCCCAAGTTCGCGTTTATGGAGTAGAATTACCCAGAGGTAGCATTGCTGCACAGCGTGTAATTCCCCAGATTTAAATGCCGCACGTTGTTCCAAAATTATATTGTAGAACGTATCGTCCTTTCTATAGATATCTCAATGGTTTAGGCCAGCCTTCTGTCAAACTCTGCTGACAACTCACATGCTTAGCAAATCACCAGTATATACTGTAGCTGATCAAGCATATGTACTGAACTTGAAACCCTACCAACTTGTTGTTTAATTCAAGTTGGACTTAATAAATAACTAATGATCTAGTGCAACTAGGTTGAAGCTGTAAGTTCTTCTTCGGGCCAAATCCATTCATAAAAATGACAAAATTGAATTGTTTGGTCTTGAGTTGTGTCTTTTCCAATTGGTAGAGGACGGAAGTTTCAGTGTTGCAACGAAAATGCTTCATTTGAGTTCAAAATTAAAAACAAAAAAGTTGCGTGGTGTGGTGACAATTTCAGGAAAGTCACTCACTCTGTCATGGTGAAGTGTTCAGGCTGTCATCAGTGCTGTTCCATGTGACTCGTGAAGGAACGTCATTTGCTCTGAGAAGAGTATCAGTGTTGCAAATGTTACCAAACAACCGATTGACTTTGGAGAGCTCGAGAGTTCGAGAAGTTGTGATTGAATTCTACATCCCAATTGCTGTGTTGCTATGTGAGGACTAACTTAAATTTGGTTCAGCTGGCATCCTGTTGACGATCTGATCTGGTGCCATCAGCGACAACCTCGAGCGTTATGATGTTATTAGGAAACAATTCCAAATTCAAACGTAAAACAGAAGATCGATTCAATGTCAAATTGCCAGAATTCAAACTGGTCGTTCAATAAGTTATTCCATCACCATCACAGAAACTGGAGATGTTCAATGGCCACAGTCTTTTGCTTCTGTTGCTTTTGCTCATCAAATCTTTATGTCACGGCCGGGTGCTAAGCGTGACAATATATCCAACTGCAGTATTTGTTTGCCTTTCACTGAGGAATGCAGTGCGTCAGTTGCGACATTCCCCTGCCCGCATTCCCTCATTTTGGGTCTGCCCCCTCACTGTCAACAGAATCCAATCCAACACAGCCTCAAGCTGTGATGCAATTTCTAGGCCATGAGTTGCATGGGCTAACTTAGTTCGGATCCACGAGTTCACCAGGAATTGCTTTGCTTTGTGTCAGTGGAGGGAACGGACACTGACGTGATCGAGAGATGATGCACAACGCATGAGAGAAAGAGTCTGCAATGCATTGAGTAGCCTAGGATTGCAATGCAGCCTCGGCAATTCTGTTTCTTCAGGATATTGGCGGTTGATGGACTATGACGGGCTGCAGCAATGAGCAAAATAGCTTCTTTCGGCTGAATAGAGGTAATGCCGGCATGCATTTCCCTTGTGGCAATTAATGTTTCCGCTACGTCTGGCACGTTTGCAGTTAAGATTCTCTTTCTGGTGTCTGCGTAACGTAACCCTATTAAACGTGAGAATGTGGGTTTGAATTGTCTCCTCTTCGTGGGTTGATCCATCGCACATGGTTTGGAAATCATCAAATGTTTGTTTTTGTCCTTGTACGCCAGCATTGAATATTGTCATTTCTTAAGCTTGCAACAACCGTCCTCTCAGGGATTGGGCTTGGTTTCTCCCCCTTCAAAACGAGTATATAGAGCCTTGGACTTCCTTCGATTGCGACTAATCGAATCAGATCTACGACGACACTCCGGAAACCATTTAACCTAATTGTTGGAGAATAATCCTTTGCTTTGCTAATTGATTCACTTGGGCAATGCAGCAGCCGGATATGGACCGATTCCGACGCAAGCTAAGGGATCTTCGATGGTGGTTGGTCGTTGAGGGTTCCTTGCGAAACATAGATTTTAGACTAGATACATAATGCTAACATGGGGTGCCCATTAACTTTATTTTTGCTACCACTACCAACCACTACCATGTGCAAACGAGGAACTTGTATCACTTAACCAAAATCAAAAAGGAGGACTTCCATTAAACTTCCTAGTCTCAACTCATTTAGGGTTTTTTCAGCCCAAGAAAGGTAGCTGCCTTTTTCTTCAAGTTCAAGGATACATCAGAGGAGCATGCACTAAAACTCACCCCTGACTATTAGCCAAAATCAATGTAGTGGTAGTTTATGCCAAGTGTGGGGTAGAAACTACCATTAGTTGGTATATCCATTGATCATCTTTTGATCCATACTAAGGGCCTGTTTCCATGTGAGCCTGACCCGACATTCGGACCATGGGTTTACTATTGAAACATGGGTGTGCACTGTTGTCCCTTCCATCATGCATAAAAGTCTACACTCACACAAAAGAAAGAGGGAGATACCACTCTGACAAGTTCATTGCATATCAATTTCATGAACAGTGGATGGGACTCAGGTGTACAAACATAATTTGTAAGCTTGATGTATCATCCAATTAACACATGCATCAGATGGAAAAATACTTATAGACCCATGGGTTGTGGGAAAACTATTACTAGAGCCTTGCTCTGTAAAAAACTTATGCATGCTCTGGATGCCATATAAACAACCTCCCCCTTACATTCACAATGGAGTGGAGTTTTGTGATGATTTAGGAGCTTTTCTATTGAAGAGCACATTGTAATTCTTGGAGATTGTGGGGCTGATTTATTGGGGGAGTTCTTTGATGATTTAGGAGCTTTTGTATTGGGGAGCGTATCATGATTCTTGGAGATTGTGGGGCTGTGTTTTTTGGTAAGGAAGAGTAAATCAAAGGTATGATGGCATTTGAAGTCGTGATTTGATTTAAGTTGACACCCAATGAATGAGATTATTTTGTTTTGAATGCAATATAGACCCATGATTTGCAATAGTAACATTGGCATGCCATGTTAATTTGTTGACTTCCTGATTTGATTTGGCATGGTGATGGCATATGATAATCATTGTTCAATGAACATAATGGGGAAGGTTATGTGTCACGGACATACATATAATTACCTATATGAATAGATAAAAGTATGTAAAAGTAGATAAAAGTAGGTTAATTGTGTAATATCTTCTAGAGAAGCTTCTTAGAAGCTTCATAGACGCTGCTTTGACTTTATAGGAGTCTATAGTTGACTTTTAGGTTAGAAACTTGGTCAACAAGTTAGCCATGTGCCACACATGTTGGAAGCTTAAAGAACAAGCTAACTACGTGGTCCATCCATAGAAAACTTGCCTTGCAAGCAAAGGCATGTGGCCTAGAAAGTCAACATATATTGGAGGTCTTATAGAACATCGCCACGTGGCTTCTAGTTAGATAGTATATATAGAGGCAAGAGTGAAGCCCTCTTCACTCTTGTCAACTCCTTTCTTGCTTCTAGTCTAGTTTCAAGGGTCTCTAGTTTTCTTGTATTTTGGCAATAGCCATTCTAGTTTCTTTCTTAATATACATATTTCTATTTTGTCCTATTTCTTTTTGAGAAAAGTCTCACTTACTCTTTAGCTTTCATCGAGTTCTTGTCCTTGACAGATTGACAAGAGTACACTTACAATATCAGAGCTTTGTCTTTTCTTGATTAAGAGTGGATTACCCCTTTTTCTTGATAAGACATAAGCGCATTAGAAGTTGCGGATTACCCTCTTTTAAACTGATATTGTTCTTAGTATTTTCTTTGTTATCAATTCCTCTCTTCTATTTGTTTTGAGCGTTATTAGACATCTTCTCTTTTCTAAGTGCTACTATGACAGAGCTTGTTGAAATGAAGAGTGCAATGGCACAGATGCAAGAACAATTGAGGGAGTTAATGCTTGCGATGCATCAACTCAATTTACCACCACAAGGAGCAACAAGAATGGTAGGAAGTGAAGATATAGAGATGATTGGGGCTGCTTCAACATCTGCACCAAACCATGTCCCTTCTCCCAGAATGGAACACCCTTCGAGTATTAGAGAACCGAGAGTGGCCTTGCCCGAGAAGTTTGATGGTATCAGATCCAAGTTTCGAGGATTCATCAATCAGGTCCAACTAGTGATTGAACTTCAACCCCAGAGCTATCCAACTCCAGGGTCACAAGTTAGATTCATTGGTACACTTCTTTCAGATTCAGCATTGTCATGGTTTTCATCTTTTCTTGAACGATGAGATCCAATATTGGATAATCTGGAGGCTTTTTTGGCGGAGTTTTGATCCATGTTTGGAGAACATGATGCAATTCGTGTTGCAACCAACAAGATCCGTACTTTGCGACAAGGCAATCGATCAGTAACATTATATGCTTCGCAATTTCGACAACTTGCAACTGATATCAAGTGGGATGATGCCGCACTTGTGAGTCAATTTCTCTACGGATTACAATATGAGGTAAAGAAATTGATGCTTAATTTACCTGATCCTCAAACATTGAGTCAAGCAATTGACTTTGCTGTGAAGTGCGACAATCGACTTTTTGAATTTTGATCCGAGAGTCGCACAAGTGGGCCTCAACGTTACTACAATTCAATGGCAACACCGACGTCTCCTCAACACATACCTTCAGAAGTAGAGGATATGCAAATTGATGCGGTACGTTTCAAACCTCTTACTGAGCAAGAAAAGTCTCGTCGTTGACAAGAAGGATTGTGCTTATATTGTGGAGAACCTAAGCACACTGCTCAACATTGTCCAAAGAAGCGACGTAACTACAAAATGAGGAGTACGGCTGTCAAAGAAGACAGTATGTCGGAAAACGAGTACGTCCAGCTACAATAGGGACCGTGCGGCTGGAATCTTGTACAACTTCTAATGAAGGTCCTATCCTCTCCTCAGAACCATCTCCTTGTTTTATAATAGATGTGCGTTTAGGACCTAATAATTACAAAGCCTCTGCCTTGGTAGATTCAAGAGCCTCATCTTATTTTTTAGATGAAGAATTTGCTAGATGTCATAG